ATGTGTGTATAAATACACAAATTCTTGTTTAAATACATATAGAAATAATTAAACGTGATTAAAGTAGGCAAATAAATTAAATAAATTGGTGGACAAATGGAAAATGTTTAAGGAAATGCTAAACTCATCCTATTTATTTTCCTTTGATCACTCATTTATTTCTGAATGTAGTTCCACATTTATTTTTCCTCTGCGCAACATGCTAATGAGAGGGAGTCAACCATGGACTTGGTCGGGGTCATGTCATAGCTGGGGACGTGGCATTGGGAAAACAATCCTTTCCCTCCGACAGGAAATGCATGGTGTTAATCCAGTATGGCCTAAAGTCACTTTTTCCGTTCAGCAGAGCAAGATACATAAAAAACTGAGCTGTTTTGTCCGTACAGTATCTGTGACTTTACAAACGACCCAACGAAATTGCCAGTGTCGTTTCCTGACGTCATTTTTTGTAACACGGTTGAGTCTCCAGCTAGAGACAACTGTAATATCAGTATCCCATGGTCATCGTGAGATGACTGGTATGAAGTGGTTTAATCGGGGAACAGACAGTTTTTTCCCATTAGTTATCAGAACAGAAAATACAGGCGACAAAATTATGTTTATTAAGCAAATAACGGTTCAGTATTGCAATTAAGAGCTATGTAAGCATTAATATTTTACATTGGCCACTTAAAATCTTTTATGATTTAGCTCTCTCATGATTATAACTACAAAACTAGCCTTATGAAAAAGTGTAAGATAATAATCAGTCCCCTTGACTGATGAAGTTAATGCACAGGCAAACGCTCAAGCGCGTCACAAACGATACGCCTACTCTTGCATAATTGACACCCTCTCATTAGCAGTTGTAGATTAGTAGTGTGGGCTAAGTGAGGGCTGCCTGTGCAGGTCCAGCACTAAGGGGCCAACGTTTTGCCAATGAGCAAAATCTCAGAGGTCCTGCGCTGGCAGTCCGCTGGGGGCCCTTAGGCTAGCCCTAAGTGGGCCCATAAAGGGCCAGTGCAGGGTTGGGCAACCTGCCATTCAGAGTCTGGATGAAGATGCAGGACATCGTCCAGAACAGTGAGTCTAACTGCAGAACATCTGTTCACTCGTGATCATTTTATGAATATCAGCTCCTGTGATTCTGGATCCAAACACTGCGAATCCACATCTCGTCCTGTCTGAAACAGCAGGAACAAACAACCTCTTCCTGATAATCCAGAGCGATTTGACTGCTTTTCCTATGTTCTGGGTTCGAAGGGTCTTAACTCAGGAACACACTGCTGGGATGTGGAGGTTAAAGAGAGTTTAATCTGGAGTCTTGGAGTAACTACAGCATCAAACCAGAGGAAGGGATGTGATTTCAATAACACTGATGTCTGGTGTGTGTGGTACAGACAGTTTAATCAACAGCTTGATCGCGTGAGAGTGAATCTGGACCATAACAGAGGAATGGTGTCATTCTCTGATCCTGTAACTAACACACATCTACACACATTCACAACCACATCCACGCACACACACTTTCCTGTCTTCAGTTGTTCTTCCTCTGTGAGGATCTTAGGGATTGTAGAAGATTTTTATTGATCAGAATTAGGGCTGTGTGATTTGGGGGAAAATATCTAATTGCGATTTTTTTATTTTTGACAGATATTGCGATTTTTTATTTTTATTAAATTTGCAAAGTCAAGCTTCAGCTCAATATTGTCAATAATGTGCTGGGTATCATTGGTATCATTGCCCTCCTGAAAAAAACAATAGAAACCATCAGAGAAATTCTTATAGTTTCCTTACAAAATTTACAAAATTCCTTTAGGTGTTGGGTATTATTCCAATAGGAATTACTGTTGTTCTATTGGTTGCCATCTGCCAGATTACATCCCACCAATAGAATCCATCAAATACTAGTAGACACCATTATAGTTTACATTAAAACCAATACAATTCCCATTATAACCCTGAAATCCATTATTATCATTATAACCCTCCCAGTTTATTGTGTTTTGGAGGGGTGAGGGGTTCTATTGTTTTTTTTTCAGCAGGCAAGATTATAATGGTATAACTACTTTTACACTTAATTTCAAATGAATTTCACAGAAAAGATTTGTTTATTTTTGATAAATGAACTATTTCTTTAGTCAATTATTAAAGTATTGCATATGTTACATAGGCTGATTTATCCATTTTTAAGTATTTGGGATTTTAAGAACAAGTGGAAAATGTGCTGAATGTTTCATTTCATCCAAGTGAAATTAGCAAGCAGTTAGACTGAATTTACATTCGTTTTAAACGCGGAGCCAGGCGCGAGTGACACAGGTTGCGCGCGTGTGTCAAGCCTCATCCATACTGCCAGATGCGCTCGTGGAGATTTGCGGAGCCAGGTGCGAGTATAAACGAGCATTACGAGACAGGCTGCGTGGGTGCGGCAAACGTGAACTGCTCGTCCGTGAATTCGCG